AACATTATTATTCTTTGCAAAATCCTGAGACGCGGTTGTGTCTCATGCTAATGGCCCGTTTAAAACATATTTAATGCGCACTACATATGCAGTAATGCGCATGCGTTACTGCAACTAATCTTGCGTTTTTTTTTTTTTTATAAATTTTCTAGTCCTTCTGAATACTTACAAGTTTAGTTTATGGTAATCAATAAAATTAATAAAATGATATTGTATATTTATTTATTTATATATTTTTTATCTTAAGAATAGTTTAATTCAATGATTGTTGCATCAGAAAATAATAGTCTATTTTAAATCTAAATTACTAATAATAATAGATTTTTTTCATGTTAATACGATAAAATATTCATATTAATTATCAATAAATAACAGCGCAGATAAATAATTGATGAAAAAATAAAAAAAAAAATAGAGGAAAGATATGTATATTATTTACCTTGCTTACACGTTGCGAAAAAGTTAATATCACGTTAAATATTATAGTTTATTATTTATTATTTATATAAAGCTAATTGAATAGCTGAAAGTGAACTATTTTAACGCACTCTTCAGTTTTTTTTATTAATAAAAAAGATTATCCTGAAGCATTTCTCACCGATTGAAAAAAAGTTGTCCATTGAGGTTAATTTTATACGTTCTTCTTGTTAAAAAAAAAATAATTTATTGTATACTTTAGTTTACATTTAAAATTAAAAGTCGCACTATCTATATCTATAAAATTAAAAAAGAAAATAAATAGCTTGAAGTATAATAACTCGAACTAGTATTTACACTTCTTATTTCCTGACTGCATGTGTTAAGCGTAAAGCGTAGGTATTTCATAATATCGCCTAAAGCGAATTAATATCGATTTCGCCACACGAAATAGCATTTAAAAATTGAAATAGAAAGATAGATAAAATAAAAATTATATAGATTGATAGAAAAATTATTTTTATAGAGGAAAAAAAAATTAATTTTTTGCACGCCTCATAACGCGAAGCGGTTGAGGTAGTGCTTTACTCCCGACACGTCAAGGTCAAACAATTTTGTGAGCTTCAAATGCCTCTATTACAATCATATTGCGCTTATACAATAATATGAGTAGACGTACATCGAGAAAACACTTTAATTAATCCATCTTATAGTTTATAAACATAATTTTATGTTGCTACTTTGAAAAAAAAACGTTCAGAAAAAAATTTTACGTGGACGTCCGGATGTCTGTACGCTGATTTTGTATGTAAACACGATAACTCCCGAAAAAATAGATGTATCGAGACCGGGCTTTTTTTATTAGTTCCAGAATTCGATTAACTGCTGCCGTATTTAATATCACCAGCCTAGCTTACGTAGTTTTTTTTTAATTGAATTTTTATTAAAATTCACAATGATATACACGTACAAAAAATAACTTCTTATTTCTCTCACGTGAAAACTATGGCGCCACTTACTCAAGTTAAAATGAGATCAACCAATCATATTACTAGATTTTTTTGCGCGCGCATATGACAAGAATATTAGGCGGCAATAATTCAAAAAATATTATTAAATACTCTGTAAGAATTTAATTTTTTTTTCTTTTAAAAATCAACTAGGGTAAGTGCACCAATTATTGACCGATTAAGATTTTCTTTTTTTGTACTAAGCTATAAAAAATCTATTAACCTACTAAAAACAATTTGTAATGGATTTTGTTAAAGTTAAATACTTAATTAATAATAATTAATAACTGTTTATAATAAAAATTAACAAAATTATATTAATTTTGTTATTTGAATCTTGAAATACTAAAATTACCAATTATTGACCGAAGAAACCCAATAAATGACCGACCGTTCTCCAATTAATTCACCGCTCAAATAATTATAAGTAATTTTGTAAACTACATGTATGTAATTAAATTTATGCAGTACTTTTCAAGTATTAACGACATCTTTAACAAAACTAAACATACAATATAATTTTAAACCGTACTTTTTTATAAAATAATATAAATAATAGCAATAATTAACGTAAAGTCACATTTCTTTAGGTCACAAATAATCACAAATTCATTTTGACGACGATAATTCTTCTGATTCACTTGAAATTTTTTTATTCTTCTCCTTCTTTTTTTCAATTAAAGCTTTTTTACTAGCTTGTAACTCTTTTTTATTTTTTTAATTGCTTAGCAATTTTTTCTTCCAATGATTCGTTCTTTGATATAACCGTTCACTAAAAAAATTAGAACAAAATAAAATTTAATAATAAAAAAAGATTTTAAGTATTATTTTAATTATAAATATACATACATTTTATAATGATTATTTTTATATTTACAAAACATTGAATGACTAAAGTACTTTAAACACTTGACAGATCTAATTTTGAGGTGAAGAAGTTAGTATTATAAATATACGATGATTAATTGGATTGTGATAAAATCAGAGAGTCTAATAAATGACCGAATGAATTTTTTACTGGGGTAAAGGGCTTCTGACGGATCCAATAATTGACCGGTCTTAACATAATATTAAAACTTATAATTTAACTTAATTTTTTCAAAAAAGTTGGAATCTGATCTTCAATTAACATAATAAAACTAAAATATATTTTATATTATGCCGATAAATATCACGAAATTAATGATGAAATGCACTCACTCTCCAATTGTACGCCAGTTATTTTTGACCGCTTTATGGCTGGTTCCGTTGTAAACAAACTCAGAATATTTTTTTAAAGCTACAATCACTGCGCAATTAATTGCGTAATTCTTTATTATGATGATTAAATGCCATATTGTTTTATTTTAATACTTAAAGAAAAAAAAAACCCTTGTAAAATATTAATTAATTAACTTTTTTATACATCGGTCAACTAATTGGTGACCGGTCAACAACTGGTGCATTTACCCTACAAT